TTACATTTTGGACCTTTTTCATGTAATTGGTGGTTGGAAATAATTACTGACAATGGGCAAGAATCATTTCCTATATGGGTAGGAATGTCAATAGTAACAGAATTAAATGGTCAAAATTTCACTGTACATGTTTTTAAAGGTAGTGAAGGTCAGTCAGAATATATTTGTGAGTCTGATGAAGAAAAAGATCATATAAGTAATGCTCTTAATGCATTATATCAAAAAATTTAAAAAAAAACCAAATATTCTGGAGTGAATGAATTTGGTTTAGATGATCTTTTAATATCAGAAAAACTTCTAAATGGTGTATTATAGACAAAGGGTGCTTCAACAATGGTTGATGAAGCATTAAAAGAACAGGCCACTGAGGCCAACTCAATACCAAGAGTATATTTGATCTGTGATGCATCATCTGACAATGTCTTCAAAGCTCCAGTAAAAGTGGTTCATTTGCAGGAAATCCTCCATTTTCGAAAATCGCAATGCATTATGCCTATACCTGTTTCAATTTATCGACAATAAGGAGAATATCCATTCTCCAAATGGTTTGCATAATGGAGCCAAGACAATAAAAGTCATGCCAGTGTTACCATAATCAGCTAAATTAAGATCGGGTATTTTGAGAAAGCAAGCTAAATCCAACTTCTCCATTATCTCCATCTCCTTGTTGCAAACATTCAAGGAATGTGCATATTGTAATACTCTATCATTATCGTAAAGGCCTTTGTACATCACAGATGTTTTCCCTATACCAATTGATTTTACAAATTTGATTTCTTGATAAATACGTGACATCACCCAATTAAGGCTCCGCATGAGCCAGCTCGCAAGCCAGCTTGTGAGGAGCTTTACACCCAATCAAGTGTGAATGGTTTTTCAACATTGTGTAACCAATTGCTTCGATCCCTTCAGTTGGTAAACCATCATCTGTCTCCAATTTTTCGAGTCGTGTATTTTTATGTTGAAACCTATCCTTACCAACCTGTTAAGGTAAATTTTCGTGAGTACACGGAAATCTGTAAAAAGAACATAAACATATGCTCAATGTGGTTGAAGTCAAAGTAGTTTCTCGCCAAATGGTGTTTCACGCCCAACGTATGCATTTGAGAACTGTATATTGGATCACTACAATTTCACAACATTTAGGGGTTAAGAAGATGTTGATTGTTCAATTTGCACATCATAGACAACATGTTGTATATTATTAAAATTTTTAGTAATTGCAACACGCATACAAAAATACTCTTGTAGAAAATTTTCTCCCTTTTTACCTTCTTCTGGGATTTCAGGAATTGAATTCTTCCTAAACAAGACAATTTTACTCCACTCATCATATTTAGTTGTGTGTGTGGAGATGGAAATGTGAATTCTTCGCCTATCTGCAGAATAAGCTGCCATTTTTCTGTTTCAGACTAAATTGCTAAATACTTAAAGCCACCATCCTGAATCGATTCCATAGTGTTAACATCTACCTGTGCATGAATATCATAATGGTATAGATGAGCCAATGACCTTGATTTCTTAAGTTTAATGTCAAGATCTCTTCTTCGAATGTGCGTTTCATCGTAGCAAAAGCGTCGCCTAATGAATGGATGATGAATTGGGTGAAATGCCACAAGTTATGTATGCTGAATACTCCAACATTACAAATAATATACCAAAAGTATGTGGATGTAAAGGAATTTTGTAAAATTGTTGTGTGTCTCTAAAAAAGAAATATAAGAATTGAATTCAATTATTAACATGGCAAACTTCTCTCAAATGTGAGTATTTTGGCTATATGGAAAAGGAAGATCTCAATATATTTGACATTTTACTTGCCAGTTTCTTTTACGATGAAAATGTAAAATAGATGATGAGTGGAAAAATATAAAAAAGACAATAAAAATATATAAAGACATTATAAATTTAAATTCAATAAATATAAATTAAGATAAAAAAAACATTTTTTTTCATTTTTCAAAATTTTGACACTTTTTCATAAATCATAATAATGCAATCAAAAAATAAATCACCATTTCCATTATCAAAACTTCCATTTGACATTCTAGAAAACATTACATCTATAATCATTAAACATGAGAGATTCAAGGTGATCGGATCAAACATCATATTTATTAATAGAACATTTGCCAAAGCCGCAATACCTCAAGTATGGAAAACTATTTATATTTATGAAGCAAATGAACGTAAAATTTTTCTAATTTTAAAATCTGCCGCCACTTCTTCTAAAATGTTTGATTATTATAAATTTATAAAAAATATAATTATTTGTCCAATTTCAATGTTTTCTAATAAAAAAACAAACGGATTATTTGCAACTTTGGAATTGCTACAAGAATTATTGCCGAACTTAAAGTCATTACATCTTCAGATCAAATCTCCTATTAACCATGATAACAATGACAGTGATGATGAAGAAGAAAGTGAGAGTGGAAGCGAAAATGAAAGTAAAGAAACCAACCAAAACAAGAAAATTAATCGAGGCGAAGATAAAGTCATCAACAAACTAACAAGGATTCTATTCAAGAGAAAAGGATTAAAGGAATTAATTTTAGATTCTAATCATTCGTCATTCAATGATTTATTATTGAAGAAAATAAGTCGTAAGAAATCATTTATCAAAGATATTAAAAGATTGTCATTGAACGGAACAAATTTCACCAACAAAGGAATAATTAATTACATCATACCACTTCTCAAAGATGACAATTATAACAAAACCAGTAATTTAACAGAAGTCACTATTGGATACGATGGGATTTACCCATGTGCAAACATTACGAGCAAATCAATAATTCATTTATTACTAGAGTCTAAAAATTTAAAAAATTTATTTTTGAAAAATTTAATTCTTTACGATGAAGATTTATTAATGATTGAAAATGAATTATCGACGACGATGATGATGATGAACTCAAATTCCACAGAGATAATTAATTCGAGTTCTGCAGAAATTACTAATTCACCTTTACAAATGTTACCAAAAAGTACAATAGAATGTTTATTTCTTGGTAAAATTAATCAACAAACTTTTACGTCCAAAGGTCTTCGATCCTTATTATTATTATGTCATGAAAACTTATTATCATTGGTGATAGATTTAGATCATATAACTTCTTCATCTACATCATCTTCTTCGTTGTCGCCATCTTATGTTTTAAAAGATATAATAATACCAATATTTCAAAATCAAAAATTGCAAGAAATTCATTTAATATCTGATTCATGGTCAGAATGGAATGATTTTTATCCTAAACCAAGATCTGAACATGAACTGAAAGCAAAAGAAGCTTTATGGCGATGGACTTTAAAATCTTATTGGGGAATATCAAATAATTTGATTGAATCATTAAGTAAAAGTATTAAAACTTTGAAAATATTCACTATTCTGGGTAAAAATTATTTATTAAACTAAATAGCTCAATTTATAATCAACATCATATAATTAATCACAATCCATCTAAATCCAATCTAAAAAAATTCATTGATATAATCAAATAATAATAAAATAACAATAATAATAAAATTTAATACTTAATTAACATTCAAATAGATTAAAATTTTGTAAGAATCCAGGCCCTGGCACTTCGTGTAATCTTCATTGCAAGACTTGTGCTATGAGCCAAACTTGTTGTTTATTTAAAAAGCTTTTATACCTTAGATTATTTGAAGGTACATTGTGTATATATATATATATATATAAAATTTAATTTTTGTAGGTATAGGATTTTATATTATAATCACAGATAATCTTTTGGTGACTATTGGGCCATTTTTGTTATTTGTTATATTGGCATTTGCTCATGTAATGTAAGTAGTATATTTGTAATTTAAAACATTCTCTCTAAAATAATATAATAATAATATATTATTATAGGTATATATTGCTACAAAATCCAGATGATATAGGATTAGTACCAAGTGTGAATACATATTCTATAGTCAATACAACTACCAATCAAACAGTGTATAATGATATAACAATTAAAGCAGATTTTGACAGCACATCATCAATTGATAATCCATTTTCAAATTTTTTTAGTTCAATTCCAGCTGCATATTTTTGGATTAATGGTAACTGGATAAATAGGGATACTTATGGCAGTTATTTTGCAGTTCAAATTTTATCTTTAATTGCAAGCTTGTTAATTGTAAGCATTATACAAAATATGTTTATAGCTTTTATGAGGTAATTAATAATTATATCTTATTAAGTTTAATAATAATATTATTATTTCATATTAATAAAATAAATAAATTTTATTTAGTAATGTGTATGAAAACACATCACAGCAAAGTAAACTTGAACTACTCAAGCTCCAAGCTACTTTCATATCAGACTATGAGGCTCTGGATTTAGAAGATGATTTTTTAAATCCTCCTAAACCTGATCCGAAATACATTTGTTATAATAATAATAATCTTGATTCATGGAAAGAAAGAACCAAATCAAGAAGAGGTTGTTTATATGCAAAATACGAAAATGATAATTCTTATATTCAATACATTCTTGAAAAAAAGGATTTTGACCATCAAGATGGTTCTTTGTGGCAGATTTATAATAAATTGGATGATTTCAATGATGATGATGTTAATGAAAAAATTTCAAATTTAGAAAAAAAAATGGATGCGAAAATGGATAACATAATGTTGCAATTACAACAATTACAACAATTACTCCAAAGACCTTGAAATTTTCTCTTTAAAAAAATACAATGTATTATTATTTTTTTTCCAAGTCCAGGATTAGTTTTTATTATGTTAACCCTTTATTTTATGTGATAATTTTTATTTTTAACATTTTTACAGTATTTATTTTTTTTTTTTAATTAAAAGTATAGTTTTT